ACAAATATCTCGGACAAAGGGAATGGCAACTCGAGCATGCAGCTTCGAAGCATGCCCAGTCAACCGCAAAATGCGCAGCACGGCTCGAGAGAACGCCATCGAAGCCTCCACTTTTTGCAACCATGGACTTGCCGACCTTGCTCAGCGGCTTTGCCTGCACCTGCAGAACGGCCCGCCAATGGGCGAAGAGCGTGCCAGTGCATGTCGCTGTGATGATACAGCGGTACACAAGTAAAGGCGACTGGGCTCTGGGACTTCCCCCTCTCGCATTCTTGGGCTGCTTCGCGATGTTCCCGAAACTTGCAGAGAAGATCGTCAACGACTGGGACCACGCACGACGACTGCAGTGTTTCTGCCCGGACGACTTTCAAGGCTTCAACGTTGCAGTCAGGGGACGTCTACGGCTCTGCCTCTCCAACTTCGACAAGTATCAAAAGCGGCAAAGAAGGCTGCTAAAAGAAGAGGCGAAGCTCAAACGCACCGCTTCACGCCTAGCGGCAACCCTGAAGAAACAGATGGATCTACGGGTCCAACTCAAAACCTGAGCAGATGTACCTCTGGTCAGGAGGAGCGAACGCAGGACTTCTGAGCCCCAGTCGGGACTTGTAAGTGCACATTAACGACATGTTTCACGATACCACAGTCAGCCACATGCTAGAAAAAAGGCAAAGCCCCGAACAACATGATTCGTTTGCGCAATTCCAGAAGCATTGAGGTTCCAGTCTCTCGGATTGAACAGGTCTCACGCAATTGAAGTCGTTGAAAGACACTCCGCGCATCCTCGCGAAAGGCTCCAGAGATTTGTGAGTTTGCATCGTAGACTGCCCGCACATACTAGTGTGCAATCAGCCATGACGGCTCCAGTTGCTCGGTTGCATGCATGCTGCCTAGAAGTCTTCTTGGTTCATCCGCAGCAGAGCCGTTCAACTGAGGCGATCATGCTGCCACTGGCCTGGAACAGAGGCGCCATGTGCTTCCACACGAAAGTTTTGGCAAGAGTCGGATCATCTTGCCTTCCTCGCTCGGCACCTGCCGCAGATGGACAAGTAATTCTGTGGAGCCCGCCACTATTTCGATCTCCCGCAAGCGGCAACAATTCGAGTTGTGGCGATGCTCGACCTCCCGACGCGGCAGCTTGGCCCACCTTTGTCATACCTCGCAACCATCGAGCATTCCGGCATTACGACAATATGCTTCTGACGAGGCAGACTTCATCAGAGTGACTGAGCCCCGCCCCTGGCAAATCCCCAATTCGGACGGCAAGCACCTGCCTATGCCATTTTCCTTGAAAAGATGGTGTTTGAAGAAGAACCACGTGCCGGCCCGCACAAACGACAACAGCTCGGCCGGTGGCGACACTACACTTCCCGACGCGGCGCCTTGGCTCGCATTTGACACACCTGCATTCCGTTGTTACAAGAATTTGCTTTGAACGAGGCAGACGACATCGAAGCGACTGACACTCGCCCTTGGCAAATTCCCAATCCTAAGGGCAAGTACCTTCCAATACCACCCTCGTTGAAAAGACGGGGTTCGACGACCAACCACGGCGTGGCTCCCTACTGAGCATCGGCGGTCGCGGCGCTAAGAACACAGCATCTACAAAGTTCGGCGAAAGCATCACAAGCGCTCGTCGTGCGGGAAGGGCCGATTCACGTCCTGCAGCAAATTGGGTTGCACTCATCGCAAGGTGTGGATCTATAGTTCGTCAGAAGTCCAACCGATTCCAACCGACTCGCAGATCTCTTGTGCCCAAGCCTCTCGAGCTTTCACAAGCAAGGCGCAAATGCGATGCGCATTTAACGGAATTCAACACAGCAGACATCAGACGCACGCACACAAGAAGCTGGTGAGCTCGCATCTCCGTCCTGCAGCCATGTCCGGTGCCGAAGAGCCGCGTACTCCTCCACCAGCTCCTTCGTCCCGTACGCCATCGGCACCACGACGCAGACCCGTGGGGAATTTACGCATCACCTTTGGACGACAGGCTGCGCAAATCCAGGTCTATGCAGGCGACAGAGCCGGCGATGTAGCTCTGCGGGCACACCTGCTGCTCGTCGAACCCGAGCCTCTCTTCGTCGACTGGAAGTCCTTCCTGTACCACGTCTCAGAAGCTCCGTGGCAGCCACCGCCACAGCCGGCCCTGAACTTAGTTGACCCGAATGGCACGGTCATAGACAACGACGAACGCTTCTACACCAGCAGTGAAGTGGAGGGTGCGATCTTCCAGCTCTTCCTTGGAAACAACTCCTGAATGTGCAGACTCCGAAGATGCAACCGGCAAGAGCATCCTGCAAAAATTGCTCCATGTGCTAGTCCGATTGCATGACCGTTCACGTTGAAGCCACAGCCGTTTGTTACCCCGGTGGCTCAAGCCCTGTGCTCGATGAGAGGACACGCAAGAACCGCTTCACAACAAGCCTGAAAGCACATCCGTTCTGCCCGGCGAGACGAGGCGACGAAGTCCGGGCTTCTTCAGAAAGTTGCCAAGCCAAGTTTCCCGAAGCATGAGTCTTTGCCAAATTTAGGTTGCCCAGACGGATGTATAAGCACATCAACGCGGCCTGAACTCGACAGACGTAGCCTTTACCGGACCCAAGCCTTGACCGCGCCTTCCATCACGGTACCGCACTCGGCATTCGAAGGCACGCCTGCATGCCATGGCCGCGCCTGCTTTCCCTCTGTGGCCAGCGCTTGGCTCACAACGACGATGGTAGCGATATCGGCTCCGAGGACGAGGCACGCACATGCTGTTCGAGTCTAGCAATCCCTCCACACCCCTGCAAAGCACTGTCAGGCGGTGATTCCAGGGAATCATCAGACGAGGCAAGTGGAATCGCGGGTAGAGTCGCAAGTCGTCTAGTCCCCCTTTCATCGTTGGGCACATGCAGAAGCGCTGGCCTGGACTGGTGAGATTTCACTGGCATACATCGAAGAGATGTCCCGCTTGCCTTATGGACAGGCCTTGTCTTCGCCAGCCGGGAACAAATGCTAGTTGGAAACCTGTCCCAGCTCCCGTCTTTCTAAAACGAGAGAACAAAGCCTACGAAAGATAGGCTATGCGTCGTCTCGCAGCTGAGACCACCAAACTGGCTGTCGAAAAGTCCGCGCAGACGTCTTCAAGCAGGCCAAGGTGCGTCTTTGCGATGTATTCAAAGATTGCCAGAAATTCTAGCGACCGCAGGTAATGTGGAACTGCACAGAGGACGTCGTGCTGTTCCTCATCCCAAGAGCCGGGCGCATACGCCAACTTACCGATATTTGCTCCGCCGGCTCCGCATTGCAGCAGATTTCCGAAGCATCCTGCCGCTCAGGTCAATGCCGGTTGCGGTACCACGCGAAGCAAAGTGTACCGGGCTCAGCATCATTACCGGGCTCAGCATCATACCCCACAAGGAACATTGCTCCACTAAACCTGCCCGCACGCCCAGGACTTCTGGCCGTGTGAGTGACCCCGAAGCGAGTTGTGGCGAAAACAAAGGGGCAGGCCTTTCATGAGGTAGAGCAACACCACGTTTTACAGCTTCCACAATGCTTTTCTCCCAAACCCAATCCAGGAGTGCAACGTTGAAGCGTATGCATTGCTTGTTGTGCCCCGGAGCTCACAAGAAACGTCACCACTTTGAATGCGCGTAGACTTGCGCTTCCCGGTCAAACCGGGTGTAACTTACCAAACAAGACCATTGTGTAGCAACGCAAAAAAGCCTTCAATTAGCTGGAAACCTTCGCGCAAAGGCTCCAGAAAACTGCACCAAGTCTCGGAAAGTGTCCAAACTTCGCTCTCGGCAGATGAGTCTCAAGCGTACGTGAGGGAATAGAGCAGGGGGTCATCGTAGCGGAACTCGCATCACTCTCAGTGTCAGCCGGGCATATATAAGCTCTTCCCCGGCTTGAGATCGATGGCCATCAGGTCGTTGCACCTTCGTGACGACCGGCCACAAACTCAAGTCTCGAAGCAACTCGCCGCTCTTGTCGTGCATGTGCCCAGGATGAGTTTGCTTGAAATGATCGAGAACTACACGAACCTGCGCGGCAAGACAATCGCAGAGGCTCCCACAAATTTGCATGGAAGCCTGGCCGTTGCCAGCCGGTCAGGTCAAACACATCTTGGGAGAGCATGGACCCGTGCTTCCCGAAGAACGGCAGCGCCTCGGTCGACATCCCTTGCGGGTACAGGCTCGGTGGCATATCAGTGAAACAAAGAGCAACAAGAAGCACTTTGCCAGGCGAGACAAGCTGCGGATGAAATCGCCGAGCACATGTACGATACGTTCACGTGCGAACCGCACCATACAAAGGACATCAACGTCTTTTTTGACCGGGTCTCCTGCTTCTTGAAGGCCAGTTGCCAACGTACCGCACACGTCCAGCAAAGGGGAAGCAAGTGCCGGCTTCAGGTGCAGGTCGACGGCCAAGTACGCAAGCAACTTATGAATGCGCTGGCGCAATATCGCAGGCTGCAGAGACAAGCCCTGCATCCCAAGGAAAGCTCGATTCCACTGCCCCGGTTTCACCCGATCGATCACCGGATCAGATAATCAGAAGCAAAATCGTTGCTTGTGTGTCTGCGAGAGTGCATGCTGCCTCCATACGAGTTGAGACCCGGGTCATTCACGACCAGCTGCGGCATCGGCAGGAAACACATGCACACACACACACACACACTCACACACAATGTAAGCTTTTCCGAGCATCAACAAATTTACCGTGCGAGAGCAGGTCCACTCCCTGTGACCCATAATGCTGGGCGAGTTGCACCTAAACAAACTAAAGCCTGGGCGCATGCCGCGCCGAAAACCTGGATCCAAAAGAACAGCCAGAGAAACATTTGCGAGGTCGTCCTGGGCAGTGAGTAGATGACAGAAGCTGTGTGTATAGCCCCAGAGCGACCCCGTGCGCGTACATAGATGGCTCTTGCCGAACAGGCCAAGCAGCACTGGCATTGTGGCTCCAAGGCTTCCAAGACTAGACACGACCCCAGCATTCGCCTTCTGCCTGCCATGACATCCCCTCGCGATCGCATCGGTTCCATCTACCTGAAGATCGGCGACATCATCAATACCCTCGTCGAGCACGCCCAAGGCAGGAGCGTAATTTAACCGCGTGAAGCCAGTCGCACAGCCTCAATGCACAGGCGATTTGTCCAGGGCAGAAGCAGACGCGTGGATGGAGAACTGGAGGAAGCTGAAAGAGGGACTCGACCAGCTGATCCTGATCGGCGTGCGCAACAAGGGTCTCACCGCAACTCAAGGCCTCAACAAAATCATGCGACAGGCTCTTGTAGCCTTGGAGCGTGGGCAAAAGGCCGCAGCCAAGGCACGCGGGAACAGATCCTCTCGCCCGTCTTACAGAAGCATGCGCCGCTCTTCGTTTTGATGGAAAATGAGCCAGTGACTCGTTCAGAAACAGCATCAGAGAGCATGGATCGGGCTACAGACATCCTCGCATGTGTGGAGAGCCGACTGTTCAAGCCTAACTCTTGTGCTCCTGCAGCTCTTTGCCAGCAGACCTTGCCTGCCATGGACGCGCTGACACCATCGGAACGCGAGCGCTTGAGTGCGGACGGCAACGTCGATTTGGTCCGCCTCGTCAGAGGACCTCAGGAGGTGCAGCGTTGGAGCTCTGCGCTTCGTGTGTGGAAGCCGCCCCGCAAGCTTCTGAGAGTGCATCTAGAACACAACGATTTGAACGAAATCGATGTTGCGCAGCTCCTGGGTGCCATCAACGGCGCGGTGGAAGCCATTTATCTTCATCATAATAGGCTTCGCAGCACCTGGCCGCTCGCCGCATTCTTCAAGAAGCACGCAAACGTTTTGCGAGAGGTGCACCTCAGTCACAACGAGCTGTGCACCTTGGCATCTGAAGCTTTGTTGCTACAGGTTGGGTCACCCAATGCAGAAAATGCAGACGACAACACGTACTTGAAGGCATGTTCTTGGATCCGCCTTGAGTTCAACTGCATCGACGTCGAGAAGCTCAGTCGCCGCTTACCCCCAAGCATCGCACAACGGATGCAATTAGCGGACATCGGCTGCACGCCGACACGTTGCTGCTGCAAGAGCCAGAGACGCGCGGTGCCCCGCATCCATTCCAAGTTCTTGTCGTTGCAGTACAGCGTCATGCCGGACGACTGAACCGAAAACTGTCGCTGCGGCAGGGGGTGCAAAACCCTGAAACGGTACAAGTTCTGATGTTTCGGCTCGATCAACGACAGACAGAAACAAGCACTGCAGAATGCGGGCTTGAGCACGGAGCGCCGGCATGTTTCGAAACAAAGTGCTTGTGCAAGTTCCTAGTATGACGGCTACACTGTCTGTGTGTGTGTGTGTGTGCATGTGTGTGCATAGGTATTTTGAGTGTCTACAAGTTCCGTTTGTTTACTGCTTGTCAGATGCCTCCCCAAAGCAAACCAAAGGGCTCTCGTACTCAAAGGACTACTTGCGGATGTGCTGCTTAAAACCATTCTGTGAGAGTGCTACTCAACTGCCGGAAGTGGAAGTGCAAACTGTCGCCTTGGCCATTGGTGTGCAAGCTCCGTGCCCATCGCCTTCTTTCAAGGGTAATAGTAACCAAGATTTCGAGTTCCACTCCCGCACGAAGGGCCGATGCATGCACCAAACGTCGCAGATTTGCTGCTTCAGGTTCCCACTAGGAAGAAGCATATCCAGCATGCAAGATTCTCGGCGCGGCCTTCGCTGTCCTTCGTCGCATGAAGAACTGGCAGAACTGGAAGAACCCATCGAGCAGTTCTCTCCTACGCCTTCTGAGACCGCCGGCCCATCTGCCCTGGTCAGAACCAGCTCCGATGTTGAAGCCTTGGTGTCGAAACAGCAGGAAGACATTCAGGCTTTGAAACTGTGCATGTCGCGTTTGGAGGACAGTGTGACGAACAACACTGGGATGTGCTCAAATATCCATGCACGAATGGATGCCTTGTCAGCCCGGGCCAACGACCTCGAGCAACAAGACTCCCACCATGCCCTGATTTTGCGCCGAGAGCTTTCTCGCGAGCTTTCAAGGAGTCATGCCAGGCTTGACGGTCTCCAGTCAAGGGTGCTTCGCTTAGAGCACGCGGGCACGGCGGAGATCTCAGCTTCCTTTGCCCTCCTTCGCGAGGCCTTGAAAACAGTGCTCCTGGCGATCATGGCTTCATGCAGAACTATGCTGGCAGCGCTGTGATCGCCTTCTAACTCCTGCTTGGCTGCTTGTACGACGGCTCCGATTGCTGGCCTTTCTTCGATGCACAGATTCGAGCAGCCAAAAATGGCAGTACTGTTCTCCTCTGCTTCACTGTCACGCTTCTTTGCTCAGTCCTGTGGCTGTGCGCATGGTGAAACAATTTGCGGGTTACCAATTTTCCAAGCTGTCGGACTCACTTCTGCCGTATGGCTCAATCCTGTCAGATGAGCCCGACTTCCCCGTCCGCGTCCATCACAGACGTCCCGGCTCAACATGAGATACACAGCCACAGCGACAAGAAAGAGTTTCTCAGCGGCGGCAAGAGCCTCAGCCGACGGACACAGCCGAAAACGAACAGTGCTGTTCCCTCTTCTAAGGGGCGGCATCAACGGCTTCCTCATCTAGCCGGCATCTCACAGGCACTGCAGTTCTTCCAGAACTTTTTGTCCCGAACTGCCAGGACCTGGCTACGAAAGTTGCCGTTGTCCGGCATGTGCTGGATGATGCACCCTTACCGAGCAACGTTTACGACAAGCTCGCGCAGCCCGTCGACGAGCAACAGCCTTAGCCAGTCCCTCATGAAAGCTCGGCGCAGATTCCACGACAAACCGCGAGGCTCGACAAGGAGATCCTTCGTTCCAATGGCCCGATTCTGCACGCGGTGATGATTGCCTCAATGCTGAGGCCGTGTCGCAGAAAAGGAAGGCTTTTCTATCGCCCGAATGCATTGCACGGCAAGGTGCCCTCGCAAAACAATAGAGTCGAAGTCTCATCACATCCCTGCATCTGCCTTCCAGATCTTCCACGACCAGGCCCGAGCCAGCACAACGCCGAAAAGCCTGCCTGCCATGCTTCCGCTTTTCAAAGGCCAGAGCAAACGACGGAAGCGCTGAGAAGGTCCTGCTGCGCGGTCGGCCACGGCTCGGCTTGTATCGGAAGCGGCCTTAGCGCAAAATATCGCAGCGGCCCGATCCCATCAAGATGCTCTTGTCCGGTGCTGTGCCAAGGCAAACCGTCCTGGTCGCAGCCTTGAGGAAGCGATTGGTCGCAAGGTGACTGCAGAACTTGTATGAGAAGACAGAAAAATGCTACGACTATGGCGCCCAGTCACGCGATTTCCGAGCGTCGGATGCGATTGAGTCACAGGTCAAGCTTAACAGCCACGAGGCTCGAGCAGCACAAGCTTTTCTCGTCGGCAACCCCCGATTTGTCATGGAAAAGGAGACGCAACGCGTCTGCAATGGTTGCGGACTCGTCATAGCAACACTTCTAGACATCTCTACAACCCACAGCTGGCACAGCAATAAGTCTTCAGCGTCCTGTTCGACGGGTGTCCGGAATCACTACCAGACTCACCAGACGTGCTTCGAGTCCGTTCATGTGCCCCGCCTGAGCATGCCACAATACTTCGAGCACATGAACATGTTCTTCGATACAGCGCTGCAACACCGATCTGCCCCAGAGCCAAAGAGCGTTTTCGTTACCGCCTTGATTCTCGTCTCACGCATCGTCCGGAACAGCCCAGGCCTCCTCAAACCGACCACCGCGTACAAGCTGGTGGCCAGCGCTACGGTCATTGCTTACACCTGGCTCTCGGACGCATGCCTCAGCTGGAGAACTATGGCCAGAGCTACGGGAATGGAAGATTCGCACCAGCTTGAGAAAATGGTCTCGCAATTCCTCACCGTCATCGATTGGAAATGCTTCGTGTCGGTGGAAGACTACGAACACATGCTGAAGGTCGTAAACTATTTCGACGCGATCCAAACCGGTCCATCGCGACCCAAAGCACCGCCCTAAACAGGTGTTGAGCTCACCACACTCGCTTGAACACGGATGAATGAGAAAGGAGTCGTGCCGAAAGAGTGTAAGCAGCCATGCGTGAACGTTTCACCCACAGACCATTCAGCGCCAGCCAGTAGCCAAAAGGGAGATGTGCGAGGTTCGTGGGCAAAACCGAGCAGCAGAGGTCACAATTCACGCTGACTTGAACCGCACCAGCAAACTCGACGGAAACACAACCACTTTCGCTTCCGAGCAGTCTGCACCGACTCAGTTTGGTTCGACAACGACATGAACCGATGCTTGAGGAGGATGCTGCTGCACATGCAACCATCGATCTTGGAATTGCTCCAGCGACTTCATTGTTCAAACAAACTGTAAGTATGGCTGCAAAAGCAAAGTTGATGATCCAGACATGCAAAGCTTCTCGTGCTCATTCAGCCACGTCCTGCCCGTGCTTTTCTTACAGCTTTTCGGCTCTTCCACAGCTTGCGCAGCACAGCATGGCCAGCATCTCTGTGCCAGGCTTGTAACACAGGCTTCGATGTTCCTGCCAAATGCCTCGGAAACTTGCTGACGTGGCGAATGCTGCGGGAGTTTACTGAGTAGACCGGCAAAGTCTGGAGTTGTGCAGGCATGAGCAGTGTGCTTCACGGCCATTTTGCACAGATCTATGGACACTGGATATCAAGGTGCGGATGCAGTTTTACATATAGGACTCTCGGCGGCTTTCCAACCACCTGAGACAGAGCGCCAACCAGAGAGCGCTCAGACTTTGGGCCGTCTATGGAGCTTGGTTAAATAAAGCCCATTTTGCAAGCCCTCGCAGAAAAATGGAGCGAGTGCACCGCGCCAGATGCGAACATGCAAGCAGCTAGGGTTGATACCAGTATCTGAGATGCTTTCAATGGAGTGATTCTTTCGCAGTTCGCATGTTAGCTGGCACACCATGCAACGCTTTCAAGGTCCAAGTTTGATCTATGCAGCGTAAACTTTCCAGCAGCAACACCGCTTTCTTTGAATGCAGCAACTTCTGTCTGTCGGCGAACAGATATCGGCTCGAATACTAGCCAACTCTGTACCACGTACATCAGGATGGCCGCCGTTCCGTGCATCATGCCCAACAACAGCCGCGACGGTTTCCGGGGCATGCAGGCCATTGTCGGGCAAAGCTGCCGTGTGACGTTCACGGACGATGGCCAGTGGCTGGTGACTGGGGACCAGCAGTGGTTCATCTTCTTACTGGATTCGATTTCGGGCGGTTTTCGTGGTGCTCAAGAAATTGCCAGCTTCGAAAATGGACGATTCCATGTGAAGCAAACCTTCCAGTCTTTGCCACCAGGCTCAATGTTCCAGATGTGGCCGCAGATGACGATCCGACAAATTTGCTGGACGACGAAAGATGCCCTGCCGCCAATGACCGACACAGGCTCCCCAGCCTTGCAAGAAAGCACCTCCCGACTGAAGCCGTTGCGGACGCCCAAACAAGTGGAGCTGCCGCCAATGACCGACACAGGCTTCCCAGCCTTGCATGAGAGCACCTCCCGACTGAAGCCGTTGCGGACGCCCAAACAAGTGGATGATTTGGATATACAGGCAGCCGAGCGGCTGCTTCAAAAGTGGACCGGCAACAACAGTCTCTTTGCAGCCATGAAGCTGTGGAATGCGGTCCGCAAGCCCAGAGGAAGCTGTGCTCTGCAAGAATGTCTCCATAAAGATGCTAATCACGCCGAGAGCCTCGCGCCAGCCTTACTGTTCCACGCTCGACATCTTGACGTCCCACTGGCCGACATTGCCCAGGACCAGCATGGAAATTTTTGCCTACAGCTGGTCCTGTGTCTGACGGGAAGCGAGACCACCGGCAAGCTCTTCGACGCCTTGTTGCCCCAAGCCATCAGCCTGGCCAAAGACAGTCGCGGATGTCGCGTTTTACAACGCGCCGTGTGCGGAAACAATTGTGCAACCAGTCAAGCCGAATTGGGCAGCACCCTTGAAGCACGACATCAACACGCTCTTGAAAGACCGCTATGCGAATTTCGTGGTTCAAACCTTGGTCCTCGCCCTGGACGACCTGAGCTTGCTGCGCGTCTTGCTACTGGAGATCCTGACTGATTCGATGCTGGCCTGGATGCTGGGAATCTGGCAAACTGGCAGCAAAGCCAACAAACCAGAC